AAAGTGAAGTTAATTTTTAATTCTTATAAAACAACGAGTAACAAACTGGCCTTCACGTTTGACCAAATTTAAATGAATAGACTAACTTCTAAGCTAAACCCAACAGACGCAACGGATGAGTGTCACCCGGACATTTTTAAGTCGGATTCTTTGAAGGTGCCAAAGTTGCTTTTTCGATTTTCATTGAGAGCTGCAAACTCATTGCCAACATCTATAAGACAAAGTTTGTCTGTTCTCTGCTTGTGGGTATTAAGTATTGTCAGATTGCTAAATCTTGTTTGTGTCATCGTCGAGCGTAGCCACGTTTTCAGTCTCCGAGCAGAAGAAAAGGATCTCTCTCGCCTGCTGCACTGGTTGCTGGATTTACACGAAGAAGTTTACATAGGGTTATGATTTCAGTTATCATACACTTTTCGGCTTCAGAAAGCTGCTTGATCTTGGCCAAAATGTCATCAAAACAGGTAAATTCTCCGTCCTTCATCAACACCTTAAATATTTCCAGTTGAACATTCAATGTTCTAACATCAACAGCCAAAAAAGTGGGGGGGGCTAAAGCCCCCAGCCCCCTCCCCTACGCGGTCCCTGCGGAATAGGAAGCCCTGGTATCCCAAGATGGCGTAAAAGTTAACATTTACCTATTTGGATTAACAAAATGCACAATATACTGTTCAAAAATGTTCCTGTTTTTGTTCCTGTTTTTTTCTCTATGCTGTTACTATGCTCATTTTTCAGATTAAAATAATTGTTTCAAGTGAAAAATGGTTCAACTACGCCGTTACTTTTTTTGGGGGGGAAATGCCAAAAATTTCGGCCGGACGGACGACGCTTAGTCTGCTACACAGCCGTTTAGTGGGGAGGAGCGTTGCGGGACGACTGGACGACGCTAAACGGAGAAAAAAGAGGATGGCCTAAGCTAAAATAAAAGTGATAAGCGATTGCTGTTGAAGTTTATTGACGAAGTGAGATAAAATGCGGAAACCGATTTAAATCATAATTGTCATTTGCACCCGATGGAATTTTTCAGGAACTGAAACTTCGGATAAGTAACTCAGTACAAACTCTCATGATTGAAACAGGAAGGTATGATCAAACTCCGCACAACTTTAGATTCTGCCCTGTTTGTAACTGGTATTAATAATTGAAGACGAATTTCATTTTCTCTTGCACTGTCCAAAGTATTCAATCCCAAGGGAAAAATTCTACAGTCAAATCCAACCTAATTTTGTCATGTTTAATCAGCTATCTTGCACAGAATTAATAATTAAACTTATGAATTCACAGAATTGTTCTCTAAATTCACATTTGTTAAAATTTGTCTCATTATGTAATGATGTGACACTTGATTATTGTAATCATTGTTTTTTTTTAATTGGCTTATTATTAGTGTTTAAATACTATAACTTCATATAGTCATGCAAATAAAGCTTATGTTGTTGTTGTTGATATGAGTTATGAGATATTGAGAGGGAGAAATTTTATGGAAGGAAGTAATTTATCATTGGTCGGACGGCGTCCCGTGAGTCGCCATGCTGACCATGTATACCCCCGGCGTTGAAATAGCATTTACGGCACTTACCTTGTCATGCATGTATATATTATCAATTAAGGTTTTTCTTTACCTTATTTTGCAACCGCCTACTGACATAAAATATTGAGTCCAAAAGCCGTCACTTATAACACACAGTCACCAGGCTCGTTGCCAGGCATGTTTACTCGGAGGTGCGATTTAACGATGAGACGGAACAAACGAGGCCGAAGGCCGAAGTCTCTAGAAAAGCGGGGGTGGAGGGTGAGAAGGGGGGAATTATATAGGTCAGTCCTGAGAATGCACCTCGAGCGTAAGGCCACGGATTAGAATTGAAAACAGGCAGCTAAAACCGAAACGTGGATTTTTCGCAAAATTTTTGAACTTCAAAGTTGCTTTTTATACCAAATAGATTATTTATGACGTTATGTGAGCACGCTGATCGGCCACGCCCGCTATATGGCGTCCGTTTCCCTCCCCAAATGCCCTCCGCGGCCACATACTGCGTGTCCATTTTCCTCACGTCCGTCTAAAAATGTGTGCGACACTGGTACATAGCATTTTAGCGCGTTCCTCTCGATTGTGCTCGTTCGAGTTTTGATGAGAGTTAGTTTAATTGATATACATTTATTAGCCAAAAAGCATTTTTAAAGATGGCAGATTTTCCAGTAATCTCCAACTTTTAGATTTACCTTCAAAATTTTTAAATGAAGAACGGCTAGGTTCTGATAATTGTCTGCAGCTGGAAAATATTCATTGATGGCACTTTCAGTTTCTTTTTGAGACGTAGATAAAATCTTGCGGCGTCTTCGATCTCTTCTTGTCTCTTCAGACCATTTTCTCGGGAACTATGTTAAAAACTGTTCAACTGTCGCAAAATTGAAAACGATTCTGCAATTACTTTTTGCAAGCACATTATCGCTAATTCACTTTTTTTACATCGTTGGTCAACAAAAAAGTGGACCTCCGGAGCCTGTGGGCGGGGGTGCGTGCCCACCCGTCGCCGACCCCCCTCCTCCCTTCGGGCCTGTCAGTCACTAGTAACAAGTGTACTAGTTAACCATTGAAAACTTTAAAAGGAATCTTTACCGATATTTTCTTGAGACAGAAAACGGCCCTGAGGAGGACTATTGAACCTGTTTAGAATGTTAGTCTCGTTAAAGTTGTCGTTTGCCATTGGACCTATTGGTATTAATTAGAATAGTTAGCCTCGCTTAAGCTGTGGTTTTCTTAAAGTGCCAGCCGTGTACTAGATTTGGCCGCATCTGAAAACTTTCAAACCGTGACTCATACCTCGTCTCGGCGTGTTGGTTGCGCCATAAATTTCAACAACTTAATGTAAGTCTCAAAGTGGTTTAACGAATCTCTAAGCAAGAGGAATTTTTATGTTATTCAGTAGACTACACTGAGGCTACACTGAACAGAATTTCGTACCGACACCTATCCCGATCTTTGAATCTCCACTTTAGAGATCGGCGTGGCTCATCAGCTTTGCTCCGTTACAGAAATTGCTCCGAAATCACCGTCCCCAAGTGTGAACAGAAGCCTTGTCCGGTATGGCTTTTGTGCTGGCGCAAAAGGATGTAGCCGATGAACATAGCTAAGTCAACTATGCCGGCTGAGACTGGAGATCTTTGGAATATTTGCGCGAACCCCACGGGATGGCCAGATACATTTTGATTCAAGCGACTAGCTGCAGGTTGTACGGCTTTGGCGTAAAAGATTAACGCTCAGAATTTATAGCATACAGAGCGTTTTGCACTTCTACTTCTTTTGATGACTGAAAAACACTGTCGTTTCATTATAATTTTCTAGATCGATAACAAGTTAAAACAAAGCCAGCTGTGACTCCCAGGACTGTTTATCTCCTCCTGATTACTGCATTTGGTTGGCCTGCCGCAAAATACAAGCAATTCTCTAGCCTGCAGTGCAGGCATATTTCTTGGGTGGGCGAAACCTTGTTCGTGTTCGTGATATTGTTTTAGCCGCCATCTTTGATTTTATGACAGTGGAAGATTGGTGAGAGTAGAAATAGTAACCCTTACGGTAGGTGCGAGGGCGAAAGAAAGAAAGGGGGGAGGGGGAGGGGAGAAAATTCTCTTCTCTCTCCCCGCCCCCTCCCCGCTCCCTTTGACTCGCCCCATCTCCTCCTCTCATCGGGAAGTTTCAACATGGCCCTTTCGCGAGCAAATTGGGCGCTAAAAGAAAACGCCAGGCTAGCAATTCTCTTATTTTTTCACAGTTAGTTTGTTTGGCACGCATAAAGGTAACCAGTCACTGACCAGTGAATTTGTGATCTTCCTTTGATTTCACGCTGTTGCCCTCGTTTCAGCTAGGATCCTAGATTAGGCTTCTAATTAAAAACATGGTAAAAATTTCTAACGTTTATCGGTAAAGTGATTGTTTTCTTGAGTATAAATTAATCGGAACGTTCCTGAAGAATTTTGAAGACGGTAGATCAGTATTAGTATTCTTTGCGAGGAAAGCTGTTAAGACAGCGTTTGTTTGTCAGTCTGTCAGTCCCACCGAACCTGAGCGTTCGTGCAACAGAAATCTGAGACCAGGCTCAATTTTCGTTTCGCTTTGGATAACATTAAGGCGGGCAAGGCGAGAGAGCAGTAGCCGTTAGAAAGAATCGGGAGCTTAAGCAGCGACGTTTTTTAGCGACGCACGTCAACCGGAAATGGACTCTTTGCACTCTTGAGCCGTGATTTTGAACAAGTTTTTGGGCAGATCGTCTCTACAAGAATTAAGCCACTTGGCAATACAAATACAGTAGCGTCAAGGCTTATTAAAAGTGAAAAAGGCTCACTTCCGGTTGACGTGCGTCGCTCAAAAACGTCGCTGCTTAACTGAGCTCCCTAATGAATGAGAACCGCTAAAACTTCATGATAAATGTTTTTAAATTTTATATGATTAATTTGATATAAATTGTACATATTGTTTAGGAATTTTAGATTCTTAAGTCTTAATTATGATAATTTTACTTTATTTTAATTAGCTTTGTTTTAGTGTCCCCAATTAGTACTGTAATGTACTAGAATTTTATGACACTTAAATAAAGGTTTCATCATCATCATCTGGGCCTGATCTCAGGTTAGTACAACAGAGGTCCATTTTATAAAACTTTTGCAAGTGTAATTTTGAGTGTTTGGAGTCTGGAAACAATAGCTACGCTTGTATATTACTTGTCAAAGTACCGTAAAATTCCGAAAATAAGCCCCCCATGTATAAGCCCGTCCAAATATAAGCCCCCTTAACCGGTAACGCAAAAAACCCTCCGTTAAATCGCCCCTCCAAATATAAGCCCCTTGGGGCTTGTACTTGGAAAATTGCCCTCAAATACAAAGAAAAACAAAGCAAAAAAGGTAGATTTACTTCCAACTGTAAGGCTAGCCCAATTGATTTTGAAACACAAATTTCCCTCCGTAGATAAGCCCCTCCAAAAATAAGCCCCTCAAAAAGGGTCTTTGAAAAATATAAGCCCCGGGAGTTATTTTCGGAATTTTACGGCATTATTAAATCGACGCCAGGAAAAAGGAAAAAAAAACTGCATACTCAAACAAAGAATGGGATACCTGTGGCAAACCCGTGAGAGCCCTGGGCAATAGAAAGCGAGAAGACCCTGGGGAAACCCAAAAAAAATTGCAATGGCTTCTCTTAAGTCTTTTGACGATAACTGGCAGACTATTCGCCCAACTATCTGCGAGAGAACCAAATTTATTTTCAATAACGAATTATTAAGTGATGTGAAGTTTGTAGTTCCTGCGTCGCACAACGAAAATGAAAGCCGGAAGAGTCGGAAGTGCATGATTCCAGCTCACAAGTTTGTACTTGCAATAAGCAGTCCTGTTTTCTATGACATGTTCTACGGTGAAATGGCGGAGGCTGCAGACACTGTTCAATTGCCTGACTGTGATTATGAGAGTCTGTTAGAGTTGTTTCGTTTTCAGTACAGCGATGAAGTGAACTTGAGCGGAAGTAATGTCATGCAAGTTCTGTCCTTGGCCAAGAAATACCTGGTCCCTTCACTCGCCGATAAGTGTATAGCATATCTTCAGGAACATCTAGGGGCGTCGAATGTGTTCTCCGTCCTGCTTCAAGCTCAGAAATTTGGGGATAAAGATTTGGAAGAACGGTGCTGGGAAGTAATTGAGGCGCAAACCGAGAATGCTCTGACTTCTCACGAATTTGTCACGCTTGAGAGATCTGTTGTTGAGTCTGTGGTGAAAAGGGAGAGCTTGAGTGTAAAGGAAGTGGATTTATTCAAGGCTGTTGATCGCTGGGCCACCAAAGAAGTGGAAAGGCAAGGGCTAACCCCTGATGGCGTGGTCAAAAGAAGGATTCTTGGCGAGGAAATTGTGAAAGCAATAAGGTTTCCAGTGATGTCGCAGAAGGAGTTTGCTTTGGTTGTTGTGGATTGTGATATTCTCACTAAAAAAGAGATTGGTTTCATGATGAAACACTACGGTGGTGTCGGTTTAGAGTCTTCTTTACCATTCATACATTCCCCAAGAGAGCATAAAACTGGGCATTTGCATCGAGTTTACAGATTTACAGAAGTAAGCTCGCCCAAAATGCCTGATGGTGCCTGGTACTACTATCGTGGTAATTCTGATGCCCTTAAACTGACTGTCAGTAAACCTACCATGTTACATGGAGTGCAGCATTTTGGTAGTGAAGGTGGCAAATACACAGTTTCATTAGAAGTGAAAGATGTGGCAAATGGTTTTTCTCTAGTAAAACAGACAGGAATGTATTCCTCAAAGGAAGATGAGAGAAAAGGTTACTATGGATTTGATGTCCTGTTTGATCACCCTGTTTGCCTTGAGAAGGGTAAAAGATATGAGATTGTATCACTTATTCAGGGCCCACCATCATGGCATATGACTACAGGGAAAAAGTTCGTAAAAGTTAAAAGAATCCAATTTTTATTTAGCTGTTCAGTTTCTTCTAGGAATGGAACTAATGTAAGCAGTGGCCAGTTTCCTGCAATTATCTTCAGCACACTGTAGGATAATTCTTAGGTGGTGATATTATTTTGTTGATCGTCTGAAGTAGCCTGTGATCAGGCCTTCGGGCAAGAGGGGGAGGGGGGATGGAAATGGGTGGAAAGGGCAAGGAGGGAACTGTGGAACTGGCAACTCTCCTCACGATTTTTTCACACTTTCCCCAGACAGGATGGTATGAACTGGTATTGTGCAAAAGTTTTTTTAGGACAGTAACCTAAACAAACAAACAAGAGTCTTTTTTTGGGAGTAATATTATTCTATACCAATGCATCCTGATTATACATGTTGTTAGGGTTAGGCTGTTATATGTTAGTGACACAGTGGAATGATTTGCAACACAACATGGAAATAGCGGCTGTTAAACTCCGGGCCTGATGGCATGGTGGTTGAGTAAGGCTACAGCTATTTAAAAATATTAATTATACAGAAGGAAAATATAGACATTGAGTGGCACTAAATTAACCTTCAGTCTTTTTAAATAGTAAACTAAAATATGTGAAAAGGAATTTAAGTGACTGCAGTTGACATTTTGTTGACAATTAAGTGAGATGAAATGCGAAAACTCATTGAGTCATTGTCATTTGCAACTGTTGTTTTGTTAAAGATAACAAGGGTGACTTAAAGGAAAGAGCTTTATTATTGAAGTGGACAGTGTCAACTGCTGAGCATATTCGCGGTGCATACATTAAGGAAGTCAGCACATACTTGGTGTGTGTATTAGCAAATGGCATTTTTCACAACCGTTTATTATTTGTGAGTTTTAAAGCTAATAATTTTCTTTACAATACTTTTCACATCAGACTAAATAAGTGCAAAAGCCATTATGCACAGTTTACCAGTATTGCGTATACTAGGTAACCACTGCAAATGTAAATGAAAGAAGCCTTAATTACATTTTCCTGTTAGAATAACACTGGCCCTGAAGAAGACTTAAGTTACTAGTTTGAACATAGCCTTATTAAAGTTGCTGTTAAATCCTTATTAAAGTTGTCATTAAAGTCGTTGTGCACAGTTTATTGGTATTGCATATTCATTTGCCATGTACTAGTTAACCATTACAAAATTTAATGTAAATTAAAGGAGCCTTATATCTTTTCTTTTAGAATATCACTGGCACCAAGGAAGACTTCTATTGTTAGCCTTATTAAAGTCGCTATTTTTCTACAATCCCAGCCTCGTACTAAATTTGGATATCTGAAAAAAAATTCAGACCATTCTCATGGGTGCTGGTTGTGCAAAAATGAAATTACAGCAACTTGTAATTCTTGTAATTATTGGTTAAACAAGTCCTAAGAACTGAGTTATTGAGTAGACTTTGGATAAACTTTGCTGAGAGGTCTTCGGAAATATTTAAAACAATTTAGGATGACTTTGGAAACATTTCGTTTCGACTTCAGGTTCTATGGCCATTGTAAGTTTGGCATAAATGCTGGACTGATTGATACAAAAAGGCTTCTCATTGTTACTCCAGGCCCCGGTTGTTCAAACGTTGAATAGCGCTATCCACTGGATAAATCACTATCCAGCGGATAGCGTAATTTATTTCCGTAATACTTATTGGCTGGATAGTGATTTATCTGGTGGATAGCGCTATCCAACGTTTGAACAACCAGGACCTGAAGGCATTTTTCGCCAAAATTTGCAAGAGTTAATAGGCCAAAAGTACCAAACTTTCATGGCTCAACAAGGGGCGAACAGAGTTCCAGGGTATTGCTTTTTTTTTCAGTATTTGCAGGACCTCTCAATTATTTATGAACCACAGTGGTGTCTATAATTTTTACTTGGAATGCCTGGGCTTTACCCATGGGTAAATCAATTCTCCTTTTGCTAATTTTTCCAGCAGTGTGGACCAATCCTGTTTGTGGTCATCATAACCAGGGAACTTCTCTATTAGTGGGCGGCACAAGAGCTGTGTAATAGGGAGGGGTTGGTTACGAAGTAGAAGGCACACAGATGGTACGGGTCCACTTAACTTTCTTATGAAGCTGTCATGAAAAATGTTGAGTCCTGAATCAGAGGAATCTGGTGACTCCAGCAATTCAAAATTTACACCCCCTGGAAAGAAATGAGATGATTGATTGAGTCCATTATCTGCAAAATTACAGTGGGTGGCAAAGCTGGGGTGCAAACCACAAGACAATAGCCCTTATGCATGTCTATATCAAATGAGTACATTTCACCACCAAGTCTCGTTTTCAGTAAATAAGAGTGCATGTTTTACATGTCGATGAATTTCCAAGGCACTACACTTGAAAAGAACACCCATGCACAAAGACTGCAGATGCAAAGAATTTTGCTTACAAACGAGGAACTTGGTGGTGAAATCTGCTCGTCTGATGTAATCATGCATAAGGGCCATTTGCAGAAAACCAGACATATAAAAAAATAAAAAAATTAATAAAAACTGGTATTTCTGAAAGAGGTCTTAGGCAGGCTTAGTCTGCATGGTGTGCAGTTTTTTTGGTGTGTTTTTCATTCAAATGAGAGAACAGTAGGGGAAAGGAGTGACAGGTGAGAGAAACAACAATTTCTCTCTGCCCTTTTCACATTACCCTACCCCCATCGTGTTCTTGTTCAAGCTCTGTATAGCATTCCCATAGCTTTGTCTCTTACTTTACAAACCACAAATAAAAAAACACACCAAAAAACCGCCTGCTATACAGGCTAAAACGATTCCTTTTGTAAGTCTACAGTTAATGCCACACATACCTGGTATTAAGTCAGGTCTCACACAAGCAATAGTCAGTGCAAACACCGGAAGACTGTTCATTGTATCAATAGCTTTGGCAATAATGCCTTTAACAAACAATACAATGAGCCGCAGCACAGTAAACACAACGTAGTACATAGTAGTTGTTGGCAACAGGAACAGCAGCACTGTGAAGCACAGGGTGCCCACAAACAGTCTGTCTGCCTTGAATGGAACAATGTCAATTTGGTTTGTCTCAACATTCCACCTCCTACCTAGGGTGGAAAAGGATTTGGTAAGATGTTATAAGTAAAAACAAAATTGTCTTGAAGTTCAATTTTATCCATGGTTCTATTATATCAAATTATACTTATTTACTTATAACTTTTATTCCATTCACACAAAATTAATTTCCTCTTTTATTTTCCTTTCTTAAAAACTCATCACCATACCCAAAATAAAAAACAATGATAAAAATTGAATCACAACATCTACAATGTACTTGTACCAGAACAATGTAAACTGTATGATGGGACTCTAATGGAATTGCAAGTTGATGCCTGTCACCGTAGGACATGATGATGATGATGATGATGATGATGCTGATGTGACTTTTTTAATGGCACTGAATTGAATTGAGTTGATGTTCACCGTAGGACATGATGATGATGATGATGATGATGATGTTGATGTGACTTTTTCAATGGTACTGAATTGGTGAGATGTTCACATAATGACAATGCCTGTGTGTAAGTGCTCCAGCTGAAATAATTCCCACTCCCTTAGCCAAACTAAGAGAGTGTGCCCTTCACTCCCCTTCAGTTTCTCAAAGAGTAATAAAGGATATCACAAGTCACCAGCATAGATATAGGGGAAAAGTACCTTTTCTGCTTGGTCAGTTCACTTTCTCTAAATTTATTATTATACCTGTTGACATTTTTTAGGCATAGGTGTGACTTTTTCGTCCTGATAGTGCCAGGATTTATCTCAAAGGGCCTAATCATAATTATTCAGAGACATCCAGAGATATCCTATTATGCTCTGACAGTTCTAAGTTCACTTTCTCTACATCCTCAAAAAATGTTTTTCCTTTCTTGCATTGACTCTGGTGTATTCTACTATAACATTTTGCTCTAAGATGTGTTGGTCAGGGCTCTAGAAGCTTAAATTTCTCATTTGGTTTCATTTTACAGAATGACATCCTAATGAGAATTCTACTCAAGTAAGAGCCCTCACTTGAGTAGTTAGCATTTCTTTTAGTTGCCTGAAATGTGAAAATTATCAGCATACGTGTTAGTTTTAATAAAATACTGTTTTACTAATACAGTGCTTAAATCTTGTGGTGTCAAAAAAAAACCAAGCATATCCCTTACCAGTGAAAAGCCTGAAGAGAGTGATCAGCTTCTTAAGCTGGAAGTTGTAAAGTCTGGCAGCATACACATAAAAACAGTAAATATGAAGAGTAACAACAGACAACACATCTGAGATCAAAGACAATAGGAATGTCACTCCTAAGCAACCAGACATGATGATTAAACTGGTGATCACTTGTAGATAAGGCTCAATGCAACTCAGGTAGATTTGCCAGAGATAGATATGATACAAAAAGAACATGCTGAGATATTCTGCAAGATGTTTATTCAGTTTTAAGCCAGCAGGAGCCCCTTTTAACCAATCCAACAACTGACTCAGGAATTCCACTACAGTGTCGGTCTTTTCCATCAGAAAATCAGTTGCACATGCATTGTAGCCATTCGCAAAGAGCCAAGAGACAATGAGCAGTCCCAGAACAATGTCAATTGATACCACCGTGAACAGACTGCCAAACCATACCACTGGAAACACTCGGCATTGATCAGTCTTCTTTTCATTTTTTGTGACTTTTCTGGAAAAATTTGTGGACTGTGTGGAATTTTGCTCACCCTCTGTACTTTTCGAGTGGGCAACACATGTACACAAAGCCATCACTTGATTGAAACGGACACATGACTGTAAAATAACTACTGATAAACTCGACAGGAAGTCTAGTATCTTCATAGCCCAAACAGAGTGCCTTCCACTCCTAATTTGAGAAAAAACTCCACAAAACTTTCTTAAAGCTTCAAAAGGTATCTCCAAAAAATTACTGCAATACGCTGGATGACTTCTGGTTTCAAGCAGTTCAAAGACGTTACCTTCTTCGATGCGAGATTTGTTTATAAAGTCAAGTACATTAGACATTTCTGTCGGAGGATTTTCTTCTTGGCGTAATAATTTGTTCCAAATATTATCTGTTTTAACATCTGGGGGTCTATGAGTTAAATACGCATTGCTTGATGGTTGCTTGTACAAAATTACCACAGAACCATCTGGTTTCAACTTTTCGCCAACAATGAATAAACGAGGAACTCTGCATTGTTTTGGCAGATGCAAGATAATAGTATCTTCAGTAAGTGAAATCGTCTTCGCTACAGCCAACACTTCAGATGATATATTCTCCGAATAATTTTCATTTTCATTCAGCCAGACACCAAGAACACACGAGGAAATCGAGTTACTTCCATTCAACATCTCCCAAAGAGAATGCACGTTCCACGAGTTCTTTGGCGGAGTAAAAACTGTTCCTGCAACGAATATGTTTTCCTTTTCTAACTTCCATCCAATGATCAATCCACTATTCTCAGTTAGACAGTGGCTAGGGAAAAATACTTTCATCTTAGTCTTTGAGCTCCTGGAAGCGGCCATCTTGAAAGTGAACAATTAGCTCAGAGACTGGTGACTAGTGGCTAATCTCCTCTCATCTTGAGACTCCGAGCGGATTTTATTCAATTTTTTCAAATTATCAATTTTGCTCTAAACTTTGTTATTAAAAGTCACGCTACAAACTAATTCATTAATTCAAAAAGAGTCTATGACATCTCTGCAGCGCTGTATTTTTTCTTTACTTAGAATGATAGGGGATCTGTTAAAGATAAAGATAACCTGTGTGAGGGGAGGGGAGGGGGACGGACGGAGGTTGGGGCTGTGAGCTGGTCAATTATCTTTCGATCTTTTGCTGCACATGGAGAAAATGAGCTAAGGTTGAAGGCTTGTGGAAATGTTCGCTAAGGAATAGTTGTTTTCAGTTAGGTTCTTCTTCGACGAACTCGAAAAAAGCTTGGAATGCTTTGCAGATGCAACAAAGCAAGGGTATTCTTACGTCATATCAGCGCCCGGTCTCTCTCTTTGTCTTGTTCTAAAATGGCGAACGAGTCGACTGCTCAAAAGATGGGAGATTCTTTTCCTCATTTCGGTA